AAGACAATAGAAAGTAAACAAATACATGCACCAGACAATTTCAGCTAGTGATATGTACTTTCAGACTATATAAGAGTTCAGAAATTCACTTTTCCCCAAGCATGCCATTCATGCATTCATTGATACAATAATTTTGAATACCTACTATGTAGAAGGTGATCTATACATATCAGGCAGAATGGTGAATGGATGTAGGTTCCATCCTAATGGAATATTCTAATGGAGGGAACAGATAAACATATATACATAGAAATGGATAACATGATTTCAGATAGTAAAAAATGCTATGATTGAAATACCCTATTCTCCTTCCCCTGCACATTTGCACTTTCATTTTATTCATTCTTTTATTCAGAAAGTCCAGTAAGGCTTTACTGAGTGCTCACTGTGTGTCAGGCAAAGTGCTAACTTATCACAGTGTTTATAGTGCAGAACCCAGATTTCACTTCTGTATCTTCACTCTAGTGAAGGAAACAACTAAAATGAATAAACACCATACATGGTGGTAAGTGTTCTGAGAAAGGACAGACAAGATTCTTGGAGAGCACATAGCAGGGGTATCACTGCTGTTCCCTGGGTCTAGGACACCTCCCCCCACCCCCACCCAACCCCCGCCACTTCCCCTTTACTGGAAACTCTCATACTCATCCTTCTGGATCTCACCATGGATGTCTCCTCTTGAAGTAACAGTTTCAGGTGTATAGGAAGTAGGTGCTTAACAAACACAAATGTTTGTCTGTTTTTATTTACTTATATAATAGTATCATTTTTAAAAATTTATTTATTTATTTTGAGAGAGAGAGAGAGAGAGAGAGAGAGAGCGAGAATCCCAAGCAGGCTCCATGCTGTCAGTGCGGAGCCCAATGCAGGACTCATTCTTACAAACCATGAGATCCATGAGACCTGAGCCAAAATTAAAAGTCGGACACTCAACCCACTGAGCCATCCAGGTGCCCCTATAATAGTCATTTTAATATTATATGGTACTTTCTCAACTTACCCAACAGATGGATGTTAATTACCCGAAGTGAGTCAATTCACATTACTGAATAACATGGACATTATGATTACATTTTAGCAAAAGCAAACAAGCACAACCCCTCTATATGTGTGTGTAAGTTATTGTATCTATTTGTACAGGCAAAGAGAAAGGTGTAGAAGAATATATATCAGGCTGTTAGCAGAGAGCAAATGATCAGCTTTGGCTTCTGCATCTTTGTGCTAATAAATACTCATGGAATGGACAAACAAGGACTGCTAATAATGTTTAGATAATGGGGACACCTGTAAGGTAGTGAGCATCCACTGACCCTTAAGGACTGAGTGGATTTCATCTTGCTCAAATCATAGTCTTCTGTTTGTGTTTTATTTTAGCTACATGTTGACATCTGGTTAACCTAGATGGTTTCATAAGTGAATTAAAGACCAAGAGAGCATAAATAATCAATTTCTGTACTGTATCCAACTTGCTTAATAGATTCTTATGCCATAATTTCCTCTTCTGCAAATTAGGAATAATAGACTTTCTGTAAGAATAACACAATTAGACTGGGTAAAAGGCACTTACATTCATAAAGTACCAAAGAGTTGTTGAGTAGAAGTGAAAACTCTCTAATTTTTCTTTTGTGACATCCATGCTGATTATGTGCCAGAAAAATCTATGTATTATAAACCAATGCTATAATCCACCTTAAAGTTGAATGTGTTTGAACAAATGTCACCTTTTCCCATAACCTTTAAAATGCAATCTTTTTCCGTTCTGAGTCTGGACATTAAGTGGGAATCTGTGGAGGAAGAGCCAAATTCCCAGGCTATTCCTCATAAAGAAGCTTTTTCGTGAGTTTGTGTAGTGGCTAGACTATATCTTTGGACTTCCTATAACCAATGCTGAGTCATTAGAGCAATTAGAGCAAACACTCAAAAGAGACTTCAGAGAGGCATCACCCAAGCTTATAGATTACTATAAGTGTACACAACTTGGACAAGTATCTGAGATGGCCTTTGAGGATGAAGGGGAAGACAAATGCTTTCCAAAACTGTATAGATTCTGTAGATTTTCCATACAGACCATAGTTACATTACTTTTTTTTAATGTTTATTTATTTTGAGGAAGAAAGAGAACATGAGTGGGGGAGGGGGCAGAGAGAGAGCGAGAGGGACAGAGAATCCCAAGCAGGTTCTGCTCTGTCACCATGGAGCCTGATGTGGGGCTCTATCCCACAAACTGTGAGATCATGACCTGAGCCCAAGAGTCAGACGCTTAACCAACTGAGCCACCCAGGCACCCCTACATTACTTCTTATTTCTCCCTAATAGCAGAGTATAGACGTAGCCTCACCTTATGATACGAAAGCAGCCTCCTTTCTCCTATCTTTGACTTCACCTCTGTTTCATTCACTCATACTCAGCTTATGTCCATTGGCCATTTCCTCCATGCAAGAAATCAGTAAAGAAAGAAGACAGAGAGACTAAGAGGTGCCTTATTTCTCATTTACATTCTCTGTTCTCAACAGTGCCACCCCAATAGTCATATTGTGTTTTCTTCATTATAAGCTTTATCTTGATTCAATTTTTTTCGTCTATAACATGAAGGAAATGATGAGATCTGACTTATATTGCTATTTCAAGAATTTAATAAGATAATTAATGTAAAATACTTAGAACATTGCCTTGAACAGGGATCACTCATTAAATCAAAGCTACAATGATTATTAGCAATATTAGTACTGATCAATTGTCATTCCACCTTATTTTGTCTTAGTAAGGATAGGGTATGTTTAGAGTTCTGACAAATGTGAAGAAATGCAAAAGTAAGAAATAATTAATCAGCCGTATAGCTATGTTAAAGAAAATCTCACGAGCAGCCCAAATTTCACTCCCTGTTTGTGTGCACTAGTCAAATAAGGAATTATTCCATTAGATGCATCACTGGAAACCTGAAGTAGTGTGATATCCCTGCCTTGTTATTTGTGTGGGCAGAACTCTTTAATACCTTCTCTCGGGATGGCAGAGTATTATTTTCTGTTTCTTGTCTCTTCTTGTTTCCGTCTCATGTATACTTATCTTTCGTAACTGAAATTATTCAGCTCTTCCAAGCACAGGCTTAGAATATACAGACCTAAGGTTGCAAGGCCAAGATGAACAATTCAGCTTCCCACCCTCCTCTGCCCCCCCCCCCGCCCACCCCCCCCCCCCCCCAGAATATTGGGACCTGAGAGCGACTGCAAAGGGCTAGAACTTGGATAGATAGAAGCCTTGTATCACATGGGCTGTTTAAATATTCATGCAGCCTCTTCTGTAGCAAAACAGGGCGACAAACTTCCTAGAAAAAAAAAAAAAAAAAAAAGGCGGGTGGAGGGGGGGAGATAATTACTGGATTTCATAGCATTCTGAAATGGCTGCTGTGAAGTAAAAACTTAAGCGCTGATGTTTGGTTTAATCTCTTAGGCAAGTGTATTTTTTTTATTCAACACAGAACAATAGGCAAGTGATTAAATGCATCTCTAAGTATTTTTTCTGAGTATATCATCAGTGTTAGATACCCACTGACATCAACAACATAACAATGTATTGTACTGTAAAAGCTACCTCCTTTATAATTACTTTACTAATGACTTGATGTATCAACTGACACACTTCCCGTGCAGTCAACAGCTTTGCTTATGTAGTAACACAAGGTTTAAATTATCAGCAATTGAGCTATACAATAAATAAGAATGAAAGAAAGACAAAATTATTCTTGAGTGTGGTGACTTTTGGAACTTGAGGACATTTCATTTAGTGCAGTCAGTTGGCACTATATGCTCTTCATTAGCATATGTGAAGACACCAAAAACGCAGGTATCTATTAATTGTTTTGTTTGTTTTAAGGAGACATTTCCCCGGTTGTAATTAAGTTCCTTTCTTGTCCTAATTCTGGCTGATAAAATTTAATTAAAACAAAGTAATTCCACAATTTCTAATAACAACATAAGAGCAAACACTGGCCCTGCACTGAGCCTTAAATTCCTTCTTCAACGTACTGTCTAGACATTTAGTGAAAATCAACCTTATTTTATTTTTTATAGCTACATTCACAAGTTCTGAATTATCGATTATGCATCATCCCAATACAGCATACAAAAATGTAAGCATTAAAAACACTTGTTCATCAGTTTGCCCCTTCTAACAGTAGTGATCTAAGATGTAAATTCACATAAAACAATAGTTACATTAATCATTAAATATTAATAGTTTAATAGGTACATTGAAAATTTTAAAAAATCACTTGGAATATGAGTGTTGAGTGTTTCTAGATGATTAATATTACATAAGAATTGACCATTAGTAAATATCAGGTTAAGTAAAATGAAATAATCACCATTCCTTTTTTTAAAAATATTTTTTAACATTTATTTATTTCTTGAGAGACAGAGAGAAACAGAGTGTGAGTGGGGGGGGGGCAGAGAGAGAGAGGGAGACACAGAATCCGATGCAGGCTCCAGGCTCTGAACTGACAGCACAGAGTCCGACATGGGTCTTGAACTCACGGACCATGAGATCATGACCTGAGCCGAAATCAGATACTTAACCGACTGAGCCACCCGGGTGCCCCGGCCATTCCTTTTTTTTTTTTTTTTTTTTTTTTAAGAGAGAAAGAGAGACAGAGTATGAGTGGGGGAGGGGCAGAGAGAGAGAGATAGGGAGAATCTGAAGCAGGCTCCAGTCTCTGAGCTGTCAGCACAGAGCCCAGCACGGGGCTTGAACTCACGAACTGCAAGGTATGACCTAAGCCGAAGTCAGATGCTTAACCAACTGAGCCACCCAAGCACCCCAAATAATCGCCATTCTTAAGTTTTACTTCTGTGAAACTTCCTTCAAAAAATTCATAAACTGTAGTTAATTATTTGGACCATGCAGGCCTAGATATGTCTGTAAATATATATGTGTACATACATATATCAGATGTATATCATAAAAAGACCTTCATGAAAAGTTATGTTTTTCATTTAATGTTTCAGATGTACATCACCAACACAATCAAAGCCAAAGGAACAAGACTTGCTAAGCCCGTTTTATGTTTGGGCTTAATGTGTTTGGCCTTTCTTACTGGACTCAACAGAGTAGCAGAATATCGAAATCATTGGTCCGATGTGATAGCAGGCTTTCTGGTTGGAATATCTATAGCAGTATTTCTGGTAAGTAGAACTTTATTTGGATTTCATTGCATTTTTAATGAACCTTCTATAATCATCTATGACAATACCAGTGTGAATCACCGGGTTTGTCTAAATGTGGTAGGTCAAATTACAATATGTACATTTGAAGTCATTCATTTCTTCCTCCTCCCTCATTTGTCCTGCCTAAAGTCAAATTTGGAGATGAAGAATATATAAATTCTGCACCTAAAGGTGAACAAAATACTTTCATATAAAATGGAATGGGGCTAAAATGCTCAGTCCTCCTTGGGTACTTTTTAAGATTGGATTGCTTGGATATTTTAAAATTTCCTCAGGCCACTTTTCATCCCAGAGTATCTAGAGCATCCCAAAGTGCTCCCAGGGTCCCAGCACAGTCTTCTCCTTGAACTGCCATGTCACAGCACTTGGTAACAGGTAAACCTTGTTTGAGAGATGAATTGGTTCCCTTCAGTAACTAGAAGTCCATGGGTGGTTTCCAAAACAGTACCATCTCAAGCCAGATTTTGTCAAGTAGTAAAGAGACTATGTAGTGATTTCTAATGAAATAAGCATGCCATCTCTACTCCTATTATAAAATCTCCTTGGAATATGACTATAGGTTTTGGTTGTTGGAAAATACATTTTAGTCCGGCTTTAGAAATAACTAATCTGTTATAAGTATGAGTGTATAACATTTAACCCAGAGGGAAAATGTGTAGACTATAAATCAAAACATATTTTGGCATTGACGCATTATAATAGAAAAAAAAACCCACTTTATTTCCATTTTGATTACATTTAAATTGCTTCTCGCGCTTAACTTCTCTTCTTCAGCTCCTTTCCCTAGTTTAGAACCAGTAAGCAAAAACTTGTATGAACCTTTCCAGCTAACAATTTTGTGAGCCAGGCATTTTAAGCAGTTCTTTTCTGTAGAACCTCCTGTGGTTAGAGTGGTGAGTATGACCTCATCTCTGCCCCACACTCTGTGCTACTTCTCTTCCTGATGTCACCCCCTCTGGTTCCCCAGGTACCTGGGAGACTCAGGCCCACCCCAGTCTCTCTCTCAGAGATATCCTATAGCCTCAGGAAAACTGGGGCCCAGACTTGGTCCAGAGCCTTTTCCTTGCTTTCACTCACCACAGTTTGAAACAGATTGAAACATTTAAAACAAAATAAAACCAGACCAACACCTTACATAAATCCTATGAAAAGAAATAACCAAACATCAAAATTTCAAAACACTAGTGTCACATGTAACTGCATTTCAGACTCATGAGTCCAGAGAATCTTCACTGGCATCAATCTTCCTGCTTTATCTTCCTGTGGCTGTTGCCAACTTCCCTTTACTTCCAGTGACTATATTAACACCTTGCAAGACCAAATCTAGAACCCTAGTCACTTCCTCATCTGAGAAGCATGTGATGAACAAGTTGGACTGTGGATCCCCTTGGGCTCAAAACCCGCCTACTGCACATATTCAGAGTGTTCCATAATGGCCCTTCAGACATCCCCATACACCTAGACAATGAACTTATGAAAAGGTCATGTGAAAATAATGCTTTAACTGTAGTAACTAAAAAACACTTGTTCCTTCATGCACAACCACTTCTGAGTGTGTCTACAGGTGTGAAGTCCTGTGCTAAGAACTGGGGGTGCAAGGAGGCTCAGATAAACACGATCTATTTCCTGTGGGAGTTACAGTCTGGTTCAGGGGCAGCCAGTAATAAGTTATTCCATCAAATATTCCCTTCCTCTTTTCCTTCATAGCATAAACATTTACTGAACCCTTGTTATAATGCAGGCACTGTGCTTGGTGCTGGGGATAAGTACATGAGAAATTTAGAGCCCATGTACTTAAAGAGATCACAATTGGGTGGAACAAGATAGACACAGAGGGTTTTATAGAGGGTTAAATGTAATGACATCAGTGTGTATACTCGAGAGATCTCTTTTGGGATTAGGGATAGTTAGAAAAGGGAGGTGATACATAAACTTGAAAGGTCTGTGGGGCATCTGGGTGGCTCAGTCAGTTAAGCATCCAGCTCTTGATTTCGGCTCAGGTTATGATCTTGTGGTTCGTGGGATCAAGTCCCAAGTCTTGATGCTTGGGATTTTTTCTCTAGCTTGCACATGTGCACACACATGCATGTTCTTTCTCTCAAAATAAAGAAATAAACACTTTTTTAAAAAAGAAAGCTTTGTAGAGAGGTCTAAATGATGGCATAAGGAATGATGGGCAAAAAGCACAGTGCATAGAAGCAATATAAAATGCTTCATAAAAGAGGCATTTATGGAGCTATTAGTCAGTTGTAGGCCTGGACACAGCATGCACATGAGAGGAGGTGGCATCCTGGAGTGGCACCAATTGTCCAGTGTCAGTGACAAGAGTGGGAAATACAAAAACACCGGGTGAATGTCGTGAATGGCCTTGTAGGTTAGAATAAGCTGGGCTTTTTTATTTTTTATTTTTAATGTAGGTGATTTGAGAACCACTGTCAGAATTCAGGTAAATTAAAGCTGGTTGAATCCCAGTTTCTTTTTTTTATTCAGTTTGTGCTTTTAAGCAATTTACTGAACCTTTCTGAGCCTCAGGTTCTTCCTCTTTAGTTTTTTAATGTTTATTTATTTATTTTGAGAGAGAGAGAGAGAGAGAGAGAGAGAGAGAGAGAGCACGATCAGGGGAAGGGCAGAGAGAGAGGGAGAGAGAGAGAGAAAGAATCCCAAGAAGGCTCCGTGCTGCTAGCACAGAGCCTGACACAGGGCCTGAAATCACGAACTGTGAGATCATGACTTGAGCCGAAACCAAGGGTTGGACGCTTTACGGATTGAGCCACCCAGGCATCCCGCTTCCTCTTTAAATGAGGCCAGTGAAAGCCTCCTTAAAGCTTATGAGGATTTAAAACTTCAAATAAAATAGTGTATGTTCAACGAATGGCTACACAAATGACTGACATTAGTTCCATAAATGATAGTTTGCTTCTTTTCAGCTTCTTTTACTCTATGATACAATTTGTGCCTTGAAAATAGGTTTGCTGGAAAGTGAAACTCCAGGTGAGGATAGAGGAGGTAAATTGTACACAACCAGGGAAATAAGATGGCACAAATCAGGCCTGTGTGAGCACAGAGAAAAGGGAGGGTATCTGAGAGGTTTGTGGAGGTGGAAGGTTTGGAGCTCGATGGCACACTAGAGAGGATGGAGGCGAAGAAGAGGGAGCAATCCGTGACGATTCCTGAGCTTCTCATTTAGGCAAGTAGAACGTTTATTCTGAGCAGTGTCTACAGCTCTGGCCTGCAATGTCCTGGGGTGTCTCCAGTTTTCTTGCAGTGTGTGCAGAACTCTGAAAGTATTCCAGAATAAACGAACACTAACGTACTCCAAGCCTCTGTGTTTCAGTTAAAAGCATCCACATCCCCCAGTCACCCAGACCCAATGTCTAGCATCTGCCTTGACTCATTCTTCTCGTTCATTCCCCACGCCCGGTGATTCATCTGGTTTCAGTTTATTTCTTACAAAATACCTCCTCCACATCTTATTTCTTGGCCATTCTGACCATAACCTCTCAATTTTCAAGATCAGCACTTTTTACCCCTCCTCCGTCTCTCGGTTCCTAGCTGCCTCGCTTCAGACTCTCCTCCAAATACCTCCCATTCTGCTTCTCTCCTTATTAGAACATAATCTGTTGCTAGTAACAAGACAAAAAACAAAACAAAACAAAACAAAACATTCCAGCCAAGTTTATTTTCCCTCCTTGCAGTGGAATCCTGTACTTCATATCCACTCAGTTTTCTTTGCATCACAGAAGGTTCTGTCAAGTCTATGTTTGCCTCAGCAAAAATGCCCATTCCTCTGTATCAATTTTATTTTATTTTTTTAAAGTTCATTTATTATTTATTTTAAGAGACAGAGAGAGAGAAAGTGAGTGGGGGGGGAGGGGGGGGAGAGAGAGAGAGAGAGAGAGAGAGAGAGAGAGAGAATCCTAAGGAGGCTCCACACTGTCAGCAGAGAGCCTCATGTGGGGCTCCAACTCACAAACCATGAGATCATGCCCATGGCCAAAGTTGGACACTTAACCAACTGAGCAAACCCGGTGCCCCTCCTCTGTATATTTTGGAGAGCAAAACAGAGTTCTGGAGTCATGTGAACCTAGGTTTGAATCCTGCTTTTGCCACCTGCTATGTGTGTGACCTTGAACAGGTCACATTTTAGCTTCTCATTTTTTCTAACATAGTGGGGTCTCCCTGAACTGTATTTAAAATGTCTTTCCCTCCCCAAGGAATCCCTTCCTCATTCCCTATTCACTTTTCTCCATAGCATGTTCCAACTTTTATATACTGTATACAATATTTTTGTTTTTGTGGGTTTTTTGCTGTCAAGCTTACTAGAATGTAAGCTGTGCATGCAGAAGGCATTTATTTATTTTCTTCTCTGTGTATTTCCAGTAGCCAGTACAAGGTCTGGTATATAGGGGTTTCTCAGGAAATATTTGATGGATGAATAAATGAATGGGGAACTGTTTTATTATCTCCCACATCTCTTTTGAGGGTTAAGTGAAATCCCATATGTCAGAGGTGCAGTGAAGCGTGTGGTGCAGAGAAGAAGATGCTGGTTGTCATAGCCCTCACCTTTTTTTTCTTTAAATGTTTGATTTATTTTTGAGAGAGAGAGAGAGCTTGAGCGGGAGAGGGGCAGAGAGAGAGGGAAGCAGAGGATCCGAAGTGGGCTCTGTGCTGATATCAGGGAGCCCAATGTGGGAGAACTGTGGGATCATGAGCTGTGAAATCATGACCTGGGCTGAAGTCCTGTGCTCAACCAACTGAGACACCCAGGTGCCTTGGTCCTCACCTTTGATGACTATTCAAATCCTTTTTGCACTTGAGATTTTTCTTAAACAAGGGCCAACTTGCCCAGAAAGTGTCCCTGACTACCCAGTTCTCCCATTTTTCCTGAATTTCCACTGTACTCAAAATCTGGCCTGTTACATTCTAACAAGGAATTATAATCTGTCCTGCTTATCACTCTCTTCTCGTGTGCATTTTCTTTAAAGAATAGAATCCCTATGCTTAAGAAAATACAAAACAAATACTAGCTGAACAAAAGTTGTAGATTGGTTAATATTATTTTATACAAATGTATGCTTCAGAGTGCTTTCAAAAACGAGGGACTGCGTCAAGTCATGTAGTTCAAGTTACTGAGCCATAGAACTATGTGTAATGTAGTAATAACAATAAGAGTTATTTGAGTAGTCTTTATTATATTAATTCAATTATTCCTCACAACAGCACATTGAGATGTGAGTATTGTTGTCCCCATTTTTCAGGTAGAAGAAGAAGTCTAGTTTTATTGAGTTGTTTGCCCAGGCTCACAGAGTGACTAAATCAGAGAGCCCAGGATTAAGGCTCAGCCCTATTTGACCCCCAGAGACCATGCACTTCATCCCATGCAACAAATGTTTTACTTACCACAAGGGAAGAGGGAAAATGACCACAAATGGATCAGATTAATTTATTATCACTACTGGAAAAAGAAAACAAAACTATATGTGTAGTGGTGACTTATTAGTGTCATTTTCGTAGGACAGGGTAGAATTATAGAAGCCACTAATGTAAAAATAAAATGCTTCAGAGGAATGTCACTTTAAATTATATAGGAATATCAGAAAATGTGAGAATTTTTGGCCTAGACACTTGCTCATTCATTAGTCTATTCATTCACTGTGGCACTGGGAATACAATGGTGAGCAAAAAAAGAGAGACAGCATCTCTGCTTTCATAGAGCTTACCACCTTAGAAGAGATCCATGTCAACCAAGGTGTTATATGCTAACAGCTGTATAATTTCATTAGGAATAGGTGCTTTGATGAAAAGCATCAGAGATTGATGTGATCAAACAAACAAAAACAACCTGGGGTCAGAGAAAACTAGTGAAGAAGTGATACTGAGATGAGATACCACAGATGAGTAGGATATGGTGCCTAAAGAGTGTGGAGAGGAGTATTCCAACCAAAATGCAGTGAAAAGGAACAGAAGGTGTTTGGGAAGTGCAACAAAGGAAGGCTGCAAAGGTGGGCAGGGTTTATTTACACTCTTAGAGAAATGGGGGGCCAGCCACAATGGTTTTAAGGAGGGTGACATGATCCAATTTGCATTTTGGAAAGAGCATTCTTATGCCACTCTAAAAATGGATTGGAGGGAGCCAAGATTGGATTTAGGGAGACTTTAGAAAGCTATGCTGGAATCCAGGAAAGTGGTGGTGACTGCTTAGTCTTTGGAGTTGGTGATGGAGGTAGAACAAAGCAGATACAAGAAATCAGAATTTTTAGGAAGGAAAATTGAGCAAATTGAGTAAAGGGTTGTGTGTAGGACCTGTAAAGGGTAAATCTAAGTTTTCAGCCTTGTGCAGTTAAGGAAGTGGACACGTGGGGGTGGTTTTCCTGAAAAGATCCAGAGAAAATCAAGCTTTAGGGTAGGGTAAGAATATGGGCAGATCTTGGGGCACCCGGGTGGTTCAGTCGGTTAAGTGTCTGACTCTCGATTTCAGCTCAGGTTGTGATCTCGCGGTTTTGTGAGTTCAAGCCCCACATCGGGCTCAGTGCGGGCAGCACAGAGCCTGCTTGGGATTCTCTCTCTCCCTCTCTCTCTGCCCTCTCTCCACTCACACTGTTTCTGTCTCTCGAAAGAAAGAAAGAAAGAAAGAAAGAAAGAAAGAAAGAAAGAAAGGAAAGAAAGAAAGAAAGAAAGAAAGAAAGAAAGAAAGAAAGAAAGAAAGAAAGAAAGAAAAAGAAAAAGAAAGAAGATGGGCAGATCTTGGGTTTCATTTTGAACATTTGCTGAATGTTTCATACCTTTGACAACCAAAAGAATGGACTAACTTGCTAAGATATTCCAATCTTTTCACTTACAATTTGAGAAAACTCAGATCCAGAGACTGTCCAAGAACATATAGACTTGGGATTAAAAACCAAATTTCTTTTACCTACGAGCTTTTACCTATGAGCATTTTTCTAATAGGAAATCAGTTCCATACTTGTGAATGTTAGCAAGCAAGACTTGTTAAATATTTGAATATGATTCCAAGGAAGATTTGGCAATTTCCTGCCTTATAATTTAAATAATAACAGTAATGAAGAATCATCATTATGCTAATAGATACTATTTAATGAATATCTACTATGTGTTTAAATAGTTCGCATATGAATTCTCAGCTGCATCAGTGGTGTTGTCCTAACCCTCAATTAAGGCAAAGAGATAACTGATAAAACCTTTCAAAGAGTTTACCAAACCTAAATCACAGAAAAAGCAGTGACACTCATTTCAGAAGCCCATACTAACTCTAGATCAACTTTTCTTCATCTCATGACTTCCGTATATCTTCCATATATCCATATATCTAAAATATAGTTATTTCAACAAATTTCACTTCACAAGAATTTGTATCAGTTTTTTTTTCATCTGCCCAATTTTTCACTAATTTAGAACATTAATGAAAAGGGAAATGTGTGTATATATTTCATGAAGTTAGTGTGAAACTGCTTGCTTGTTATGTTGTTATTGGTGAAACTTCTTGATTATATCCTTTGTACTCTAGGCAGTGGTCAATTGGCAAACTACAGCCCTTAGGTAAAACTTGGCCTGCTATCTATTTTTTTTTTTTAAGTTATAGTGGAACATTGACATGCCTGCTCGATTATGAATTGCCAATGGCTGTTTTCACACCAAAACAGTAGAGTGGAGAAGTTGCTGCAGAGATCATGCCAGCAAAGCCAAAAATACGTACTATGTAGAAAAAGAAAAGAAAAGAGAAGAGGAGAGCGGAGGGGAGTGGGGGGAAGGGGAGGGGGAAAGGCCCCTGAGTTGCCTCAGTCAGTTGAGCTTCCTGCTTCAGCTCAGGTCATGATCTCACAGCTCAGCTCCTGGGTTCCAGCCCCATGTCGGGCTCTTTGCTGACAGCTCAGAACCTGGAACCTGCTTCAGATTCTTTATCTTCCTCTCTCTCTGTCCCTCCTCTGCTCAGGCTCTGTCTCTCTCAAAAGTAAATAAACATTAAAAAAAAAAACATGTGCTGTGTGTCCCTTGCAGCCCAAATTTTCTGACCCTTCCTCTAGAGCAATCACTATTAGTTTTTTGTAGGGTCATCATTTGATACTGGGTTTATCAAGTACCTATCTCCAAGCCTGTGCCATTCCTTACTTGAAAGATCTTGATGGCATGATAAAGTTGATATATCAGATTATCAGGCTTTGATCTGTGTTTCTGATGTGTAATTATCCATGGAAATGGAAGGATAATAAATATACCACAACTAAGGAAATATGTTTTGTAAGATAAAGTCTCATAGTATGTTGTTATTATTTTGTAGATTTGTAAATTTTATTTAAAACCTGGAGAATAACCAAGGTCGAATTGGCCTTTGAAATTATTCAGTAATGAGCCCTACTAAGGAAAAGGCTTTCCAATGGAGCATTTGTGCAAATATACAATGTAAATATGTGATTATATAGTAAGCATTTATTTTTAAAAAAAATTAATATTAGGGGGTGCCTGGGTGTCTCAGTTGGTTAAGCATTTGACTCTTGATTTCAGCTCAGGTTTTGATCTCACAGTTCTTGGCTGATAGCACAGAGCCTGCTTGGGAGTCTCTCTCTCTCCCTTTCTCTCTGCTCCTCCCCTGCTTGTGTTCGCTCTCTCTAAAAATAAATAAATATTTAAAAAAAATGAATGTTAGGTGATAACTGCAAGTAAATTCTGTATTTTATTTTGATAATAGACTATAAAACCCAGAAAAAAAAAGGCTGAAGAATATCTTACCCACTACGTAATATAAGCAAATAATAGCAAGAAACTTTCCTTTGTTGTTTTATTCACTATTTCGTAAAGTATGATTCATCTGCATCAGAAGATTTTAGAATATATTTCAAAAAGTGGCAACTCCTAGGCCCCCTTCTTCATCTACAAAATTGGAATCTTTAGAGGAAGGCTTAGGAATGTGCATTTTTAACAGTGCTGGGACTTTATTTTTATGTACACTGGAGTATGAGAACCTCTGATTTAGTTCAAATGCTGTCACCTGTCTGGTATAATCTGTTGAAACAAGGGTCAATTTCCTTTATGTAAAAGGTCTTCCATTTCACTGGTAGCCCCAGTAAGCTATTGTTAAAATGCCAAGTATACATGGGGTACAATAATAGACAATAAACTAGGTTAATTAAAGGGATGCTACTAAATTAGAAAGTGCCAATTGTAAAAGGTTTATTATGAATGTAATGATCTTGAAGCATTGGAAATAATTAGCATTTAAATTAAGTTGTAGGTTAGCCACATTAGGAAAGGTTAGCTTGCTATGAATTTTTATAAGGCTATGATGTTATTTATGGATTGATTTGAGCATTGACTATAACCTAATTTAATGAAAATTATGGAATAATAAAATTGTCATTATTAACTGAGCTGCACATTAATTTTGAATTTTCTTGAACACATTTTCACTGGAATAACTATTAAAATTTATGCAAGATAAATATGGATGTAAAGTTATATATGTAATATTTAACTAATTTTAATACTTTATTACTATGATTAGGTATATTAAGCTACTCAAAAGGGTCATAGTCACCAGGAGTGTGGCTTTGTTTCAACTGTATTTTTTTCCTGAAATTTTAGGTTGTGTGTGTGGTAAATAATTTCAAAGGAAGACAACCAGAAAATGAACATCTCCACATGGATAACCTGGCACAGATGCCAATGATCAGCATTCCTCGCGTAGAAAGTCCTTTGGAAAAGGTAACATCTGTACAGGTGATTCATAATTTAAATTCTCAAATGTGATTGTTATCTAGAGCAAATGAATAATCATTCCTGTGAGTTCCTGCACAGTCATTTTTGATTTACTGAAACAAATTTAGAGTCTAATGTGGTATTTAGCAAGAGTTTAGTCACTGAAGACATCATCTTAGAAGAATGCATATCACATTGAAAATATTTCTTTGAATACCACATGCTAAGAGCTGAGTATACATGGAATATGTTCTGTATTTTGCCATAACTTTGAGATAAGGAACATTGTGCAATGGTCTCATACAGGGGGAAATTACAAGATATTTTTATTTGAGAATACATGCATTTTTTTAAAATATATTTCATTCTTTCCAGGCTCTATTTATGTGAGAAACTGCTTAGTATAATGCCTAGGACATAACAGTGCTCAATGAATTTTGTTGAATCTCATTATAGAAAGGTCTGGTCTCATTATAGAAAGGTCTAATGACAGGAAAACACCGATCAGGCCCTTCCTAATCAGGGAGGTACTGAAGGAAAGATTGGGAAGGATGGAGCCAGACCAGGCTGCTCTTTGAATGGCAAGTCAAGGCTTCATTAGACATGACAATGAACACAGAAGCCAAATAGTTAACAAAAATTTTTCTTGAGACTTTTTCTTGAGACTAATCTTGTGAACTAGAGAGGGTAATATTTCTTAAATGAGGATGCAGTTATGTACATTGGTAATTGGTTAAAAGATCGCTCCGAGGGTTACTAAAAGTAACCTCATCCCTCTCCATCTCCACATTTTGATCAATACATTAGATGAAGAGATCAATTACATGCTAATCAGGAGCTTAGATGGTGTCAATCAGAGAGGGATAATTAATACATCAGTTGAAAGAATAAAAGAGACTAGATGCAATTAACAACTAGAAATAAAGCACATGTTTTGTATTTGGATTTAAAAAGAAGTTCATGTAGGGTAGGGTAATCTAGGTTAGCTGCACAAACAAAAACAGGCTCAGAGGGTATTGTAGGTTACCATTCAGCATGTGTCAACCGCATGTTATTGCTGCCAAGTTATATGATCTTACGTTCCATTTAGGGAAAATAATATCCTGAATGAGAGCATTAATAGTTTGCTGTGCTCAGACTAGCTTGGAATACTGAATACTGCCCTTGGTGACATAGTTTTAAGGTGGGCATCATAAAATAGAGTAGTCGGTACTCAAATATTTGTTAAATGAGCAAATGAATGTGCCCAAGATGGTGGTGCGTGGACTCAAAGTCATGGATTATGAAAGCCTGTAGAAGGAGTAGAACATGATTAGAGAAAAAGAGAACTCATGGAAGACGCAGTAACTTTCCATATATATCTGAAGGACTACTGTATGGCAGAGGGATGTGATTTGTTCTGCTGGGGCCTCAGAGGTCACAATTAGGTTGAAAGAAAAGAAAGTGTAAGAAGACAAATAATGTCAAGAAAGAAGGAAAAACTTTCTAAAAATGGAATGGCTTCCTTAAGAGCAACGAAATTTCCTTTTATTATAAGGATCCAAGAACAGTTAAATAATCACTTGTCCATCGTACTATGGAGGGAATTCAAGCATCACAGTGAGGATAGAGGTTCTGGATCATCATTATAATAAAAATAATAGTAATAATAATAATAATTACAGTTTAATTATCATTCATCATGTGTCAGGTACTATGCAGATTGCTTATGTAAATTAAACAAATATACTCCTATGCTCTGCAAATACAACTTCATTCCTTACAACAATTTTATTTTTTTATTTTTTTTGATAAAGTTTTTTTTTTTAATATATGAAATTTATTGTCAAACCTTACAACAATTTTAAAGCTGGGTGTCATTATAGTGGCAAATGCTAATAGTCCAAAGAAGACCTCCTCCCCTTCTTTCTTTTAGTAACTGAATTCCCCAATCCAATTTTAGCTACATCCACCACTGCCCAGCCATAGTCTGTATTTCCCAGCTACCATTGCAGTCAGACGTGACCGTGCAGCTAAGTTTAGAACAATGGGATGTAAGCAGAAGTGGTAAGCACAGCCTCTGGTTCGTGGCTTGAAGATTCTTGTCTCTGTCTCTTCTCCCTCTTCTCATCAAGCGGAAAAGGTAGTGACTGGAAGTAATCTTTAACTTTTTTAAAACACCGATCCATTTTGACAGTGTAGGTTCCTGGCTGAGCTCATGAAACAGTCCACATACACCCTCTAGATGGTTCTGAAAAAGAAATAAACTTCTTTCCTTTCTGAACCATTGGATTGCTTTCATCTCTTTTGCACAGTGGCTTAGCTGATGCCATATGACAATAAATGTCTCCATTGTAGAGTTACGGAAACTGAACTCCCAACTAGTTAAGCAGTTTGTAAAAGTCCACATCATTGATGAGCAACAAAACTATACAGTGTGACATTTCAAGATACATGTATTGTACAAAATTAGATCTTTTTTAGCTCAAGAAATAAAGATAGAAAGCAGAATTTAGGAAGAAATATTAGACATATTTGGAAGACAATGGTCTGGGTAACAATTAGGGTTCATTTTATATACCTCAGAAGTTAACTTGAACATTAATTACTATCTTCTGTTGTTTAACATATTTATTTGTATAAGGATTCTTTGGTAGCCTCCTAGCATTGCCAAATATTCTGATACACCATTACATCCTTCTATATATACAGTGTATATTATATACATATATATATATATAATTCCTGTTGTTGAATTTATGCAAATTGATTTTCATTTATAGTGACTTTTAAAATATGAAAGCAAAAATATTCTACTAGAATCTATGGATTTCAAGATATCCGTGTTTATTAACTTACTTCTTTCATTCAGTTTTTGTTTATGACAAACTCATGTGCTCTGTTTTTACCTTGGTAGTTAGGGAACAAACATGATTTGAATCTGATTCGGTTCTCCCCTTTGCCCACCGAAGTGCACTGTCACATGCCTTGCTGAGTTCCGACTCTGCTCCCCACTCTATTCCCCCTGTTTGCAGGCAGAATGCTGTGTGCACAGGGCAGGGTCTACTTTTGCGTCACACAGATCACACACAGGAAGATCATGAATCAAGGTGCTGGGGACACATCTCAGGCTTCCCTGTGGAGCTCTGCTGCTAAGAGGACATGTATTTGTGCTCATCAGCTGGAAAGGGAGGAAGGCCATCACTTAAGGAAGCCCATGATGTTTCTCTTTTACGATAAGGAGTACTTGGAGTAAATATATTGCTTTTCATCATAGCTCACGATGGGAAACAAGTGAATGCAAAATTCTTCCCACTAGTTTGATCTTAGGAATTGATAGTTGGAGGGTGGCATTAGGTTCTTAAAGCTGGCCCTCTGAGGAGAGAAAGGGAGTCCAGTATTAAAGTTCCAATTGCAGGCACGCCAGTCGTTTAAGCACTGTTACGCCAAGCTGTCGTTTTCTGCTTGTCATTTTGTGCGGGGAAGGCAAAGGGTTTCTTTCCTTTAGAAGTTGTGTACTTATATAACCTCTTATGTTCAAAGTACATGTTTGATAAACTGTAAGCTACAGAGTAATTACAGCATGCCAGCATTCTTTATTTTTATGCCAGCGATTTATCCCTTAATTATAGGGAGTTTGTCATATAGTTAATTACCACAGTTTATGAGAAAAGTCATGATTTTTCTGAAAGCTAAGTAAATCTGAACATTCATTACATTTGGTTTTATGAAAAGAATTAATCATCTATGGAAGCTGGCCCATCATATCTCATAGTCCAGTAGATTTTTAAGTTGCCAATAACTTCATTACCGCTGTTTATAATAGCAAATCATAAAAGTCTAACTGTGTATCAGCCGTGAATGATTAAATCAATGTGGGTACATCCTACAATGGAATCTGGTGCATTATAATGCGGTGTTTCAGCTCACAGGTTCTGGAGGTAGACTAGCTGGGAATTTGGGACAATTTTGACCTTGGGCAGCTTATTCAAATACTCTGTGATTCAGTGTTCTTATTCCGCAAATGGTCATTGTGAGAGTTGAGCAAACTTATAGTAAAGCACTGAGAACAGTGTCTGGAACCTGTAAAGCCCTTAACCATTGCCAGTGATAATTATTATTACCATTTAGCAGTTGAAATGGATAAGGTAAATCAAGATGTGGAAAGTTTTCTGATACATGTTGTAAAGTTTATTTTTTAAGTTGATATATATAAAATGCATGTTATAAAATGTGTGTGTGTGTGTAATGAAGCCAGTTATGCAAATTACCACACAAGATAATTTCTTTCTAGTAGGATCATTTATTTCTAGAAAAGAGCACATAGATGAGAGAGAGAAAAAGAGAGACTAGTTACCAACCTGAGAGCAATGCTTAAACCTAAGGAGGCAACTGAGAGAGTGGATCTGATTTCTTCTCTTTCTTTCTTTGCCTTCCTTCCTTCCCTTCCTTCCTGCCTCCCTCCCTCCTTCCCTTTCTCCCTTCCTTTCCTTTTTCATTTGTTTTCTCTTTCTTTTTCTTTCTGTAATGAATAATTGTGTAACAAAAGCAATTACAACTTTTAAAAATTATCCAGTTTTCTTAAGTTTCTCTAAGGAGGTTCTGGTCATGCTTCCTCAGATTGACTACCACTGTGTTCAGATTTACCAAAGTCCCTTGGAAAGATTCCCTCAGAGCAATTTAAATCCTATGCTCCTTCCTCATGACTCACATGATCCTTTTTAAAGTGTTTGGTTTATTTTTATCTGCTGAATTGGGCATGGAGGCCTTGGTTGTGGCTCAGATGCCTTTGTGCCCTCATGCCCAGGGTCCCGCTTCCTTTGGCACACCTGCAGCCAGCCATCCCCATTTCAGATACTGTATGTCCTGAGAAACCGCACACAAGCCCTGTGCATATGCCTTTTATTTATGGGATCCACAAATTCACACCCCACCAAGGCCCCAGAAAACCAACTTTGTTCATAGGTTGCACCACCCTTTCCTTTCAGACTCATCCTTTTCTGGCTCCTTCCTTTGACGGCCCAGGCATCTCAAACAAAAGCTTCAGTGGTGCTGGCTTCAGGATGTCTCCAAATACATGAAGATGTTCTTAATTACTCTTGGGAGTCCAAGAACCAAAAGTCTGACTCTCCTTCTAGGAAGTGGAGATGGAAACATTTACATATTCATTATCTTTAGTTCCTTATTTTAGCAAGAACAAAGAATTAACATCTTAATAGCTGTGTTACTAGGAAAAACTAGATAGAGTAAAATTTTAGTCATTTCTACTAAATATCGTATAAATCGATCCAGTTTGAAGGATGTCACCAAAGGGCAATTAAAATGTTTCTTTGTCAATAAAGAAGCTCAATATTGCAGAATTGGCTAAAATCCTATAGAATCCCAGTAATACCCCAAAATTTCAAAGAGTAAAGATGAGAGATAAGAGCAATCTCTGAGAGAAGGAGGAGTCTATTCTATTTAAAGCATAATTCAGCACCTTGAACCAACACCATTTTGAGACTGGATGAGCAAATAGGCAAATACACAACAAAAGAAAGTCTTCAGGCAAGAAGCTTTCCCTCCGGTCAAGCTTCTCATTAATATTGGTTCATGGCAAATGAAGGAGTACTTTTCCTCAACTGAACGGGTGCTATAACTAGGGGGGAGAGTTGTCTTTATTTAAAAAAAACAAAAAGCTAGCTCCAATACTTCACCATCTACTTAGAGTAGAGGTTAGGCTGAAGTGACTAGCAATAGTTCTGATGGTCCAACAACCACAAGAATGAAACTGTATAGGAATAAAGTGATAATCCTATAGTCTCAACTTTTTCTACCATTTCACTCATCAAATCACCAAAATTCTATTATAAAACTACACCCTCCATCTTTTCAGCTCAAGATCTAAGGTAAGGATTCCTTGACTATTTGTGGAACAATCTGGGGATAGCTAAATCTATTGTTCTTCCAGTGTAAATAATCAGGACAATTACTTAAATCCTTTATATGATATCATGACATAGATGAGAAAGATAGACACATTTTACGAGTTAGAATATGTTTTTGAAAAAAATTAACTACAAAAAATTTAACTAAATTCATTATTAATAGTATTTTCTTCCAATGTCAAGGAAATTAAAGAAAATATGTGAAATGAGAGATGAAAGGTAGGTGACACAATGGCACAATTAGGAAACTAATGTAAGAAAACAAATAATATTATGACAGGATGGAAACCAATAGTAGAAACCATAAAGAACAAAATCCACACTGGAGAAAGACTTATCAGTATATTAAGGACAGGTTTCAGCATATGTAGTAAAAGAACAAGAATATAAAATTGACCAGAGAAAAGATAACAGATACAGAAGACATGCTACAGAAATCTAACATGAATCATTGTAGTTCCAGAAGAAAAGGACAAATAGAAGTATAGCAATATTCAGAGATATATATCAAGGAGACTTTTCCTTCAAATAAATACCTTCAGTCTAGAAGAGTTAACTAGATACAAGGTAAAATTAAAATATATACTAAAACTTAGATTGTATTTCTCAGTGAAATTTTTGTATTTCATTACTGAAGAAAGAGTCCTGTAAATTATGTGGGAGATGTTATTATTCCCAATTATTAACTACTCCCTTCCTTAGGCAGAGTATCCTTCCTGCTCCAATTATCTAGGATTTGGTCAATAACATCTGAATGAACCTGATTTATACCCCATTAGTCAGAAACCTATAGAGACATCAAGAGTTTTGTCAACTTTGTTGCTTCTGGGCCTCTTTCCAGGAAAAGTTCATTTTCCTGATAGGGGCTGTTCCTTTAGCCTGGATCCTAAAACGGGAAGACAAGGGAAGCAGAAGGGTACCCAGCCAGCAACCTGGAGCGGATGTATAGAACCTGCCCACCAACATGTGGTATGAGGGAGAAATACATATTTGTTGTTGAAGCCACTGAGCTCTTGAGGTTTTAATATAGTATACCTAGTGAAAACTAACACACACACACCAGGGCAGAAAAAGTTGGTTACCTACCAAAGTCTGACAGCACACTGGGCTCAGACTTCTCTCTCTATAATAGTAGATGCC